GTATTTCAAATGAATAAAATATTTTATTAATATTATATGAAGTATTATAAGTGTTTTTTATCTTCCCTAATATTCCTTAAATATACTACTAGTATTATTTACTTGTTGACATTACTTGTTGGAAACGGTTTGCATTAATCACAACGGCAATAATTTTTTATGTTAGAAATGTAAAACATTAAATAACTTTAACTTCATACGTTTCTTCAAGTGGCGAGCAACGATCATGTTTTTTTTTATTATATATATGCGGCCACCAGCATGTTTCTTTTAGTAGAAGAATGAGCCAAAATTATTGATCATTATTCTTAAGAAAAGACATTAGTGTTCATTTTTGAGTATCTAGCAAAATATATTTTCTGAACAGTTAATCCATCAACCCATTTAACAATTCGATGACTTCTGATTAATGAGAATTAATTATGGGGGGAACCGAAGATCGGAAGAACCTCTCTATATTCCCTAGGAAAATTAATTGGTCATTAATATCTGAAAATATTCCCTATAGAGATCAATGTAGCGCCTATAGAAGATGTGACAGGTCACATTTCATGTTTTCACACTCAAATCTGCTAAGGTAAATCCGGCGATCCAAGTATATTCATTACAGCCTACATTGGGCGATAGTGGCAAGATTAGGGATGTCAAAAAAATCCGACCCGCAATGACCCGCTCTGGCCCGAGACATTTGGGGCGGGTCCGTCCCGTCTCGTCTTGCAAATAGGGCGGGTCCGGGTATTAGAATTGATCCGTGCCGCCCCGACCCGACCCGACCCGCTGAATATATAAGTATACATACTTTTTCTTAAATTATAGTACTACAAATATACTTCAACATACATATGTGTATATACAATAAATCATAAATTCTTTGATCTTATAATATATGAATACGGAGTATATATTATAATGAGATGCACGACGGATTATCAATGTCTTCTTTATATATAGAATTTTAATACATATATTCAATTATTAATATAACTAATAAGATTAACTATTCAAGTTTGAGTAATTTTTCCTTAATTTTTGAAATTTTTAGCGTATCATGAATTTGATTTAATATATTGATTTTTAATTATTATTTAGAGATAAACATTATGTAGATTCAATTGGTAACAACTTCCCACAAAAAAATACATACTAGCTAATTAGGTTACGGCGGGGCGGGGCGGACCCGCCCCGCCCCGCATGGGGCGGGTCATGGGTCAACAAATTTGGACCCGTGCATGTCATGGGGCGGGGCGGACCCGCCCCGCCAAGTCACGGGGCGGGTCCGGGTCTTGCAATACCCGCCCCGCCCCGACCCATTGCCATGCCTAGGCAAGATTATGCATTCCGGCCATAGTTAGTTAAATATGGTACGGGAATTAAACGAGGTTTAATACGTACGTGTTTTATTCGGTAACATGAATGAAAAAACGGTCAAAAATTCGTTGAAAAAAACGTTGACTTTTAAAAAACGTGTAAATACGTATACGTGTATAATACGATATCTGTTGCAAAAATTCGGACAAAAAATACGGAGTATTATTTCGAACATTTAAGTTATATACTTCACAAAATAACATATATAATAAAAAGAAATAACACTATGCACATTTTCTAGTAGCAAATCTCATTACTACATAAAAGAATTATTCATAAGTCCAAGACATAATTTTGCAAAATAATGTCAATAAACAAGGCATAGTAACAATAGAATGAGACTAACTTAAAATCATTATCTTTATATGATCCTCAAACAACACTCAAGTTAAACTCATCATTTTCATCACGATGACGGATGACATATGAGAAAAGTTGTGTGATTACTACGCTAATTATTGTTTATCTGTAAAAGTTTATACTAAAAACATAAGGTATAGAGAAAAAAACCTTAATTTTGATATGCTTGTTTAAAAAAACATCAGAAATCTAGTAGTATTTTAAGTTTTAGTATTTTAAGATGCTAGCTTTAGCTATCATTCAATTAATTTAGTATTTAATAATAGTATATTTTGTATTGTAACAATACAAAAACACGAGGCCACGGGGAGGATGTTTTCATTTTTTCTTTTAAATTCTTGATGATCTCCTATGCATTTAATGCATTCATTCAGTTGATCAATTCATGCTTCTATTTTTTGTAAAATACGGGAAAAATACGTTTTTATACGGGAAGTAGGAGTTTTTTTCTTTTTTTAAACGGACTGATATTATTTTTCGTTTTAAACGTGTTTTTTACTCAAAAAACGGTACGTGTTTAAAACGTAAAAAAGCTAACTAGGATTCGGGAATGTCTTCATTATTAGTCAAATACCAATAGTTTTAATCACTTGCAAATTAATGATATAATGTAACTAATAATTTATTAATATTAATGATCTTTTCATCTGAAAAGTCTCAGATGCATCATTTTTCTGATGCAATTTTGAAAGAAAATTGTACATTTCAGTGGAGAATCATCACTAAACAAATTAGTAAGTTACAGGTCTACTTTCTACAAAATATGATCTGTCAATAATAACGACTAATAATGGGCACAAATGATAATTAAGATGAGACTAATTCACAAATATAATACTCTCCATAAAAAATGTAACTATTTGTAATTTGTGTCATACTGAATTTGTTAATTAGCAAGTTATTATATAAATATCATCATACGTGACAAATTAAACGAAATGTCTGAGAACAGATTTTAAAAAGTGGGCTAAGAGAGGCATTATCCAAATTTAAAATTTGTTTAGGGTTGGACAGAATAGAGAAATATTGAAACATGAGAAGGTGTCACGATTATTAAGAAAAAACAGTTATGAAGTTAATTTTGAATTGATAAGTAAGAATAATTTAGAACCACACAAACCTTATCAAATTTAGTACTATCGTATGAAACAATCTTAGTAGAATGGATCGAATAGGAAAAATTAGACAATCTTAGCAGGACGAGGAAAACGTAGTAGAAAAACTTAAAAAGGCGTTTACATATATACTTAAATAATAAAGTGTTATCTCTTTCAGAGAAAATATATAGAGCATGTTGGCGTGCTCATTAGGAAACACGCTGATCATGGAAGTAATTATAAACGAAGTATTTTAGATAGATGAATCTTATCATTCGTTACACCAAGGTGCTTCTTACCGAGCACGCTATTGTTGGATCAAATATTTAACGATTTGATTCTACAATTATGAGAGTTGATCGTGGAAGTAATTACAAACGGAGTATTTTAGATAGATGAATCTTATCATTCGTTACACCAAGGTGGTTCTGACTGAGCACACTATTGTTAGATCAAATATTTAACGATTTGATTCTACAATTATGAGAGTTGATCATGGAAGTTAATGAACATAATATTGTCAGTTAAAACGTTTTTATGTATTAATACAATCATTAAAGTAATTAAGGAGGGAGTTAATTAGAGTTGACCAGTATTTATGACGGGTCTCAAACTGTCAGACCAAGTTGTCAGGCAACAATGGAACAAACAGTCCACCCCGTCAACGACAGAACGATTGAGACATAACATTTCGATGACATAAAAGGGAAGAGCCTGTCAAGAAACATACAAAGTGCAAGCAGTTATGGATATGGGTGGGCAATACCGGAAAATCGGTATACCGCACTTACATATCGAAAAATACTGGAAAATACCGGAATAATGGTATAACATCATTTTTGTACGATATCGTATTATAATGATTTATTCCGGTACGGTAACAGTAAATGTTTTCAAATACCGCGATATGCCGATATAATACCGTACCGACTCCCTACCCAACCATTACTTTTAATTCTAAAATATTGTAGAAGTCCATTACAATTGTGAAGCCCTAAATTAATACTACCAATGTAAGGTTTGATGTTAGGTGACACAACCAATGAACGCTAATTACTATCGATTACCACTTGGAGATGCATCAAAATTTCTTAAGGAATTTATATTTGATCTTTATTTCTTTGATTCTGTGTTGTTCTTTTAATTCTTGCACGTTACGCAACTGATTTGTTGTTTCCGAACGTTCAAATCATTTTACATAGTTTAGCTTACGAAAAGTAGCTTAAGCAGTTACCGTGCTCCATAAATTTGTTTAGAAATTGCTCTAAATAGGAGCAAAAACGTTTTGAAATTCCAAAATAGGAGTATCATAATTTTTATTACCTGAATAGGAGTAATCTGCCAAGTTTGGGAAAAATATCATATTTTAAAGCCTAGTAATGCCAAACTTGACATAAATTTACTCCTATTTAAGGAATAAAAAATATCATACTCCTATTTTGGAATTTCAAAACTTTTTTACTCCTATTTAAGGAATAAAAAACATCAAAAATTTGTTCATCTCCGTCATTGAATAAGAAATACAATTCTAATTAGCTCTATGTTAAAGCAAAATTTGTGAATTTGATAGTTGGATGTGTGAGAAATTATACTCTATATGTAGTATGAATCATACATTCATATTCATGTCCCGTACAAAGATTTATATGTGGTTTACGATATTTAACTAGCCATAAAGTTAAAAAAAAATATTTGTCTATGATAAGATTATTTTTAATAAATAAAATGTATATATCCAAAAACAAAAATAAAATTTTTATAAAGTCGCAAAAAATCAAATTTGATAGAAGTTTATATAAAATTTAAAAGATTAGAAGACTTTATGTTGACCACAAAATAGTGAACGAGAACTTTTGAATGGGATGAAAGTAGGTACGGAGTATATTATTGGTAAAACATTGGGAGAGTCTGAGTTGCGCCGCACTTTTGCAAAATTTGAGTTTATACCCATTTTCAAAATAATTGACATTTATGACTTTAACATTAATTTTTGAACCATTTGTTCTTTTAAATTGGAGTCTAGATCATATTTCTATAGATTTTTTTGATATTAGGGTGCAACACTAATTATTTTGAAAATGAGGGGCAAACTCAAATTTGAATGAAAGATAGGGTACGCGCAAATTAAATTCAAATTCGATAGCATGAACTACTACGGTACGAAGTATATACTTCCTCCATTTTTTATTAAATGATATGCTTGCAGGTAATGGTGATGAGGTTATTGCATTGTTATACTGGGGAGATGAGATTGTGAAGACCGGATGCCAAGGTTCCGTTGACTATTCATTGCCCCCCAAAACCACCTGTTTCCTCCAGCAAGTCAGCTCTTACGAGGAGCTGGTGGCGAAAGTGCAGGCTGCAATGGATCCTGATAATAAGAAGAAGAAAGATGACAGTACGAGTCTGGGTCTGTTTGGAAGGTACCCGACAACCTTTGCCGGAGACAAAGGCGGGTCTGTCTCTATCCCACTCACCGACAACCGGTCGTGGCGGTGGTTCTTGCGTGAGATGCTGGGTTCGCAGCCTCTTCATGTGTATGTGGTTGCTGCTGCGAAGGGAAAGGGCAAGTGGGCGCTGCAGAGCAAATTGACAGGCGCAGCGAAGACGGCGATGAAGATCTTCCTTGTTTTTTTCTTGATAGTCTGTGTTTTCGGATGCATCCCTGACATGCCCAAACACAACTCCCGTGTTTAATTTCAATTCACTAGAAAAGCAAGTGTTTGCAGTTTGAAACAATTAATGGCTGTTTTGATCGGTTGGACTTTTTTGCATGTGTTGATTGAATCATTACGTTTGCCGGTGCTTTGGTAGTATTTCAAGCTTCTTTGATTTATGGATGCTACATTTTCTTTTTGTTTGTGAACTTTTCTTGTTTGGTACTCCTACAAACTATGTCACTTTCTTTTTTTAATAAAGAATTTATTGTTCAAGATAATTTTTTCTCTTACACAAACTTCGATCAAACAGTTTTTACTTTATTAATTCTAATTTTATTTCACTCGTTAATACAGAACTATATATGTTTCCTAAAGTCACATAGTTCTCGTCAATCACCAAAGTCACATTGTTACTTTGCAATAATGACAAAAGGTACTCCAAGATTTCATATGGTGATCTGAAATCACCAAAATTTCAAGATTGGAATTATGTTTGAATTAAGAATTATAAACTTCAACTTTCACACCAACATGTCAAAATCGAGTGTCTTTATGTAATTATAGACTCCCTCCTTTCTTTATTATCTGTCCCGTTAGCATTGGGCATGGGTTTTAATAGAAAAATAGTAGGGTAAATGTAGAGTGTGTAGGGTAATGATAAAGTAGGAAATGAAGGTATATTAAGTAGAGTAAAGTTAGGATAAAGTACTAAGGAGAAAGTAGTTTGTAAAAAGTAAGAGGGGTAAAGGTAATAAAAGTGAGGGTATGTTACCAAAATTTTCCTAAAATAGAAAGAGAGACAAATAATAAAAAAATGTCCCAAAAAGGAATGCGACACAGTTAATAAAGAACGGATGGAGTACGAGTCTCAGGTCCTGCACCGCTATGATATCAAAGCCATAAACTTTCCAAGTCGTGGGATTGCATACCCTTGATGCATTCTACAGGAGATTAGGTTCTTTATATTTACTTATGGAACTTTGTGATATTACTTAGTTCGATAAACCAAACAACACTAGCAATAGATTTACTTGCTTTTAATGGGTTAGCAGTTGTTTTCTTAAAAAAAGATATCATCCGATCCATGAGCCCCACGGCATGGACTAGACAATTAATTTGGGAGGATGCGAATTGGATTTTAATCACAAACTCGCAGATAGTAAGTGTAGTATTGGGGCTCTAGTCCAAGTACTAGCAAATGTCATATGCATTTTTACACTGTAACCTCTCATCACAATTGTTAGGATTTGAATTAGAAACTTACCCCTTGTAACATCAACTATTAGCATTTTTGGAAGAAGTAATACATGATCATAGTGTTAAAATAACTTTTTATATAAAGTTCAGGGTATTTACATTACAAATAATGGCCTAAATATTACTCCCTCCGCCCCGAATTGAATTGCAAACTTTGACCGGCACAAAGATTAAGAAATGACAATAAATGATGCTTTTTTTTTACACTTTTGCCCATCTTCTAAAAGTAGATGTCTTTAAGTTAATGGAGAAAAAGTAAAAGTAAGGGTAAATTTGTCACTTTATTCTTATTTACATACCTAAAATGGAAAGTGGAAAACCATTTTGGGACAACCAAAAAAGGAAATTTTGCAAATCGAATTGGGATGGAGGGAGTACGAGTTTTTCTCGGTTTAAGGAAAGCCGTCACTCCAAGTTGCGGCTCTTGTATTACTTCACAAAAGCCGCCATTCCGAGTTGCGGGCCTTGCGGCTCTTCTCTTATACTCCTTCCGTCCCTTAAAGGTTTGCCATGTTTGACTGGCACGTAGAATAATAAAGTAAAAACTGTGTGGTAGAAATTTGTGCAGAGGAGAGAGAAATAACAGGAGCCACAAATTGATTGATTAAAAGGGAAAGTGGCAAAGTTTGTGGGACAACCAAAAAAGGAAAGTTGGCAAAGTTATAAGGGACGGAGGGAGTAGTACAAAAGCCGTCACTTCAAGTGGCGGTTCTTCTCTTACATCCCATTTCGTAAAACACAATATGTTTTAAGAATTTGTTTAAATGTCTTCCCGATTGAATTTTGAACTGAAATTTGGTATGCATAAACTAGACTTGATGAGGAACATGCTCAAAAACATTCATGAAAAAATTCCAAAAATTTGGCCCTCGGCGAGGTCGACGTCCCCGAAGCCTCTAACAGGGCTCCCGGGGGCGGCGTCATCGCCGGGTTGGACCAGACGGCTGTCGACGTACGCCATCAGATTCAACAGAATGCCCCCGATGCCCGCCTCGGCATCGAGGCCAAGAAGAAGGACCGAAGCGAGAATCAAATTAGCCCTCCGGTCATCACAATCGACGTACAATCGGCGCTCTCCGCCTTCATCCAGACGCTCACCCAGAACCCGGGTGCCTTCGGCACTTTGGTTCCCCTCCAACCTCAGGTCGGGGAGAATATTATGCCTCCCCCTCATCCACACCCCCTCGGGAACCCGGTCCTCCGGATTGGGAACTCCGAGGGGGTCGTGGCCCAAGATACGACCTCCCAGGAAGTCCAGTCCCGGGACCGCCACAACGTAAACAAAGAACAACTCTGGACCTCCGCCCTCGAGACACTCGGAGGGGCGCAAGACCGCCGAGGGGTCCAAGACCACCTCGGGGGGAAGGCGTTCCAGAGGCCTCAGGAAAGTGGCGGGTCCGTCTCCAGGGCCAATGAAAGGCGCCCCCTCAGGACAAAGGCAAGGCACCTCTCCATGCCAACGACGCCCGCCACCAAATCAACCAGGCCCACTCGGCCCGCGTCCATTCGCAGGGGGCGGAGGCCCTCCCGAAGGACCCCCGGGACAAAATCATTGCGGCCCTCCAGCGCCGGCTTGGCGAGATGGAGGCCACCAAAGCACACGCCACCACTTCTGCCCCTCATACAGACCTCAAGTATGAGGCGATGTTGGCCAGGATGGAGGACGTGCAGAAGAAGATAGCTGAGGGCTCCGGGGAACCCACCATACAGCTCCGGACCTGGACGCCATTTACCCCAAGGGTATTGGCGGCCCGGATTCCGAAAAAATACTGAGGGCAGCTCATCAAGCCCTACGACGGAAAGACTAACCCCCAAGAGCACTACAGCAGGTATCAAAACAGCATGATGATGGTGGGGGCATCAGATGAATATTTGTGCTACTGGTTCCTCTCCACCTTAGAGGGGCCGACTTACGAATGGTTCAATTGATTGCCCGAGGGCTGCATTGACTCATGGAAAGAACTCGCCCAGCGATTCTTGACGCAATTTGCGGGAAGGCACCGCACAAGAAAACATTTCTCCCACTTGCTGACAGTGAGGCAGAGGAAGGAGGAGACCCTTCGGGACTTCCTGGAGCGTTGGAGAACGGAGGCTGATAAAGTTGATGGCGCTGACGACGGGACCCTCCTGGCCCTCCTCCAAACAGTACTCCGCCCCGGGAACTTCTCAAGGAGCCTCAACATCGAGCCTCCCCGTGATTATATAAGGGCCCTACAGCGGGGGGACCGTTACGCCGAAGCCAAGGAGGTGGACAAATGCCACCACGTCCCGGATCAGCAGCTCCCTCGGCCAGACGACAAAGGTAACCGGGGGTCGGGGACTCCCCGCAATCATCCCAAGGATTCTGCCCCCTCCGGTGATCGCCCCCGGCATGGCCAAGCCAAGCCCGGGGGAGGCTACAAGGGGAACCCGAGGGCTTGGGCGCAGCCTGTTCTCCTGGAGCACCCTCAGACACCTTTGACGCACCCCGTCAGCGTCATTCTTGATTTTGCTGAGGAGAGGGGCCTAGTGGAGCGAGATTCACGCGCACCCCCGGAAGTATTTGCCATCAATCCAAACTACCCCTACTGTCGTTTCCACCGGCACCAGGGGCACAGGACCGATGACTGCCATCAGCTAAAGACGGCCATCGAAAGGTTGATACAAGCGGGCCATTTGTCCCAATTTATTCAAGGCCCTTAGCAACAGGGGGCCCCTCACCAAGGGCCACCCCGAGGGCAAACTGCGAGAGCAAATGCATGGGTCAACCCGAACACCATCCCCCTCGGCAAGAAGAGGGAGATTAGAAATCTGGAAGAAGAGGAGGAGGAGTACCCCCGGTACCAAGAAAAGAAACGCCACATCCTCATGATCACGGGGGGCAATATCGGGGGTGATTCTACGAGTCAACGAAATAAGTGGGCTCAATCACTTTACGTGGGGGAAGTCACTCATATGCCCCAGTAAAGCGGCTGAGGGAGGAACCCATTATCTTCACTAACGCTGATCTCCCCCTAGTGTCCTCCCCACACAGGGATGCCCTCGTCATCCGCACAGAAATAAATGACACTATTATTCACCGAACTTACGTTGACACAGGCAGCTCCGTCAATGTAATGTACCTCAGTACCTTCAGAGAGCTGCATCTGGAGAGGGGGTCCCTTCGGCCCATCAAGACCCCTCTTGCCAGCTTCACCAGCGACACCATTGATTCAGAGGGGGTTATAACCCTCCCGGTACTCTTCGGCGACGGGATCCATAGAGCCAAGCTCGAGGTGGAGTTCGTCGTCGTCAACATCGACTGCGCCCACAACATCATCCTCGGCCGGCCAGCCCTCGAGGATCTCGAAGCCGTCATCTCCATGAGGCACCTCTGCCTCAAGTTCCCGGCCGAGGGGGGAATAGGTTACTCAAGGGGAACCAAAAGCTTGCCCGCGCTTGCTACCTTCAAGTGACAAAGAAGGTTAGCAAGACGGAGTTCCGCGTTGACACCATCACCAGAACTGTGGAAGCGGAAGAAAGGAGACCGAGGGCTGAACCAGCCGAGGAGGTAGAAGACTTCACGCTCGATCCGGCCAAGCCGGAGAGAGTCGTGAAGATTGGAGCCAAGCTCCCCGAAGACTTGAAGACCGGCATCATCAGCGCCCTCAGCGCCTACTCCATTGTTTTTGCATGGGGGGCGGAGGACATGCCGAGGATCAGCCGAAGGGTCATCACCCACCGCCTCTCGGTGGACCCTTCGGCCAAACCAGTACAACAGCGGAGGAGACCCCTCCCGGCCGAGAGGAGGGAATTCGTGAAGAAGGAGGTTGCCATGCTCCTCTCTATCAAGCACATCAAGGAGGTAAAGTACCCCTTATGGCTGGCAAACGTAGTCCTTGCACAAAAACCGCCCTCATTCCGCATGTGCGTGGACTACATGGATCTCAACAAGGCG